GTGTGTGTGTGTGTGTGTGTGTGTGTGTGTGTGTGTGTGTGTGTGTGAGAGAGAGAGCATGCACGGGCCTGAACGTAATGTGAGAATGTGCGTGTCTTTTTAAATTCGGCTTTTGGAAATGGTGTGTGAGTGTGTGCATGTTTTCACTTTATTTTGTGTAGGTGTGAGTGTGTGTGTGTGTGTGTGTGTGTGTATGTGAACTCGGTGTGTCTCTACCCATGCACGCGGGTGCTCTCACATATCTCTCTCCCCCGGGGATGACGCTAAAAATATGTGGCTCCTCAAGCCTTCTGGTGTCTGAGCAGCGTCTGTCTGCTCTCCATTGCCGTCCCTGTGGCCCTCCCTCCCTTCGTTACTCCTGTTCCCTCCATTCCTCCCTCAATTACACCCTCTTCTAAACACAGTACCTCAACATGCACACACACAGAAACTACACCCAGCTGTGCCTCTGCTACACTTCCACCGAGGATGACCTCTGCTCAGCCAGTTTAGGATAAAAGGAGGTGAATATAAAGGAAATTGGTGGGAAAAGGGATGAAAGGAATGAAGAAAGATGTAAGCGTAGCATCTGGAGACAGGTCAGAATCCAAATGGTCGGAATCGTCGAGCCATGTAGAACCAAAGATAGAGCTTTTTTGCATCATTAGCAGATATGTGTGTAGACTTGATTGTCGTGCTCATTTCCTGATTTATTTGTGTGACATGCTACGATATGAGGTTAATTTTAGCTGGGTTATTTTTCACATTCTTTCAATTTTCATTTCACATGTTGCTTGATCATGTTAAAGGCCAAAAGTGTTCTCTGTACAACGAATCCATGGTTCAGTTTAAAATATGCTGCCGGACAACATTATGGTGATGGATTATGACTCAAAGTTTTTGTACAGCCTTGTCTCACAGGGGCCTGAAACTACTATGACTTGGTAGTTCGAATAGAAACCTGTTAGAATTATTTGTTGATAACCAACTGACTTGGTTAACTGGGTGACAATTCTAAGTTCAGGAGATGATGATGAAACAAGTGTAATGATAAGGAGTGCCAGAGATTTCACACGCATCTCATTCAACACCAAGAGTTCAGGTTCAGTTTTACCAAACAACAGGAATATTCTCTCTTCCATTTGAGATTGATTATGTATCTAAAAGTCCTTTGAAATCAGGAAGAAAAAAACAAAAAGATGACCTTTTGTGATCCAAACTCAGTAACACAGATAGGTTTGCGTATGCATGCTTTACATTATACATTTAGTAAACATGTATCACCAACATGGTGGTAAATATGATATATTATAATATATAATAACACTTTGACAGTTTTGATATGACTTCCAAAAGAAGAGAAGAAGCACATACCGAACAGAAACGTAACTTCAGGTAGACCAACTTCCAACAAGCATACATACCCTCCATCATGTGTAATGCTGGAGAGGGTAATGTTCACTTCTTCAGAGTTTTTTAAAGCTTTCTGCAAAGAGCACCTTTAATATCCAGTTTAGTATGTTTGTAAGCTGGTTGTTGATTGAATCAGTTTCCAGGCTAATATTGCATGTTCCTGGAATTGCGTGGAAAAGCACTGAGACGAGGTAGTTGCATTGTTGAAGAGTAAAGCTTTCTCTCTCAACGTAACAGTGGACTCTCATGACATTTTTAATCTCGAACTTTGTGTTTCAGATAATGGTGTATCGGAAGCATCTCAGAGGGCTTCCTCAGATGAAGCCGGGACATCGAGGAGTGTACCAGCTTGTGCGGGGCGAGGCCGGGTGGCTCAGCTGATGAAAACCTTCAGTGCCGATACCCCGTCACAGAACTCCCCTCGTGGCATTAAGCCACCGCTTCCCACCAAGCCTAGTCACTTGCGTATGACAACTACATCCACCATCAGGTAATGCTTAACAACAATGGACCGACTCTGACCCAGCTCCACATGTACCTGTGCTTGGAATAATGCCACACAAGCCAAGACAATGCCAAAGACAGCTAACATGGAGTCTCAGTTGGGAGCCCAATGGGTCGGTGAACTGTAAACGGGGCACAAAAATGGTAATGTTAACATTGTTGTTATCATTCCCATAGCACAGTCACAAAAATGCTTGAATGTAATTTTTTATTACATTTTTTATTTAGGATTTTGCAGTATTGTAAATATATACGATGGGATATAGATTCCAAAGAAACTGGTCATATTTGAATCATTTGGTTTCAAATGGCACAAATCTGCGACAATTTGTGAGTAAATCAACAACTGTGACAAGAACTCACATTGATACGTCACACATTGCATGCAATGTGTTGAAAAGCAAAGCACCGTTATTCTCACACAGTTCTAAAGCACAAAGACTGGGCACACGTACTGCTTTATTTTAAGCACACACATTTACAGTGCTGTGTTTTTTTTCTCTTAATTGCTGTCTACTTGAACAAAAGTAGGGCAAGGAGAAGGAGACTGGGGTGAAAGAAGGTACAGAAGGGCCCTCCCACATCTTGCTGTCTCCTTCCAGGGACTAGTGTTGGGTTGTTGATTTGTCACAATGCAATTTAAGTTTCCCCCTGCCTCCCGGCAGGAGTCTCACTGCGACCTGTTGTGGACCAACGACAGTGCCAAGCATACAGTCATCTGTCACTCCCTGTGGATCAAATCATGTCAAGTCAGACATTCTCTGCCAAATATTCCAGCTGTGTGTTACCTTTCTTTTTTTTTCTGTCCTAAATTGGAGATGTGTACCTGGTTGTTGATATTGTGATTAGTTACATTTGAATTTTTCTTCTAGGAGATACATTTAATACTGGGATATTAAACTCTCTTATAAAATGAGAGACATCATCATACTTGATATCAATGTTAAGTGGTGCCAAGAAACATTAAAACAACAGATTCTGTGTTGTGTTTTTGATTATTTTTTAATTGTCTTTTCTCACAGTTAACTTTCATCTTGATACTATGAGACCACGTGAAGTTAAACTTCTTTCTTTCTGGTGCCTTATAGCTTGATTAGAATAAATATGTATCAATTTTATTTTGAAATATTGCTTGTTCCCAACAAGGTTGTCGTGCAGGTTGAACCTACTTCACGGATACTATGTGAATTTCTTGTTTGACATCTTTCAGTGTCAGCATATGCATCTGCATCTTTGACCAAGGTCTGCATGCATTTTTAAATAGATTAGCAGCAGTACTTTTCACCCATGCTCGTCATCACGGTTCCATGACATTTTTTTGCGTTATATGAGCAATGCTCGGTAAGCTTGTAAAAGAAACAGAAGATCATTGCCAGTGTAGATATACACATTTTTATGTGTGGTTTCAATTGCGTAGTTAAGTAATATTTGAAAGATAAATTATATGTATTACTCGTTGAGATTTATTTGGACAGTATAGCATTTGCAATCTTATGCTGGTTTACAACATCACCACTGACAAATTCACACTTAAAAACATTTTGCTGGTCTGCTTTGCAGTAGAGTCCATGCATGAAAACTTGCTCAAAGCAAGAGCATTGTCTTTGTGACAGCTGTTACAGGATATGAGATGAAGGTAAAATAGCATGGTCATTTTCAAGGAGTTCATTGTACATTTCCTATATTTGTACGAACTTGGACTGACATAACAATCCAATAACATATGAATGGAGGCAGAATCAATGAAAATAAACACTCAGAGAGATGTGGAACATGGTGATGTTTAATCTCACTAATGTGGCAACAATATGTCTGTTATGTAATACTCTGTTGCAGTCTAACCATGTACCGTAGTCACTGTCTTGAAAAGGAAGACAGCGTACGTGTGTGTATGAGTCAGAACGGCTGCCATTGTTTTGCAGTTGTTTCATAGAAGTTCACAGGCCTGTAATTCGTCAAGTCTCTTTCTGTTCACAGCCAGCTGCATTCATAAAAATACACACATATTTGCTGTGCAATTTATGCAATATTGTTTTTATTCTCAAAATTCGCTTATTTCTCTGAATGTGAAAAATCACAGTAACTGAAGACACAGCAAAACATATTACACCAATAATAGTAAGTACAACAATTAGCTTAAAAATCATTGTAATATCTCTAAAATTAGCATATGATATTGTATATAAGATATGTCATGGGTGTTTAGATACATTGGATACAGACAATTCAAGCCAAACCCAGCTCATTGTAAGGCAGTTATTATCAAATTAAACGATTCATCAAAATCTGAAACGGTTCAATCTGTATCACACCATTAAAAAAAATTACCTAACAAAGGATAGACGAAGTGAAAACACTTTTACGGCAAAAGTATGACTTGTAAACAATATAGATGGCTCTTGTATCCCTATAGGCCCACACAAAGGACGCTGTATAAAGGGCAAGTTGACAATGGAAATTTAATGAGGGCGCTAATCGTTTGATAGTTACAACATAAGACATTGCGAAATGAATAACTTCTGTTGTGCGCACTAGGTTCTCGTGCAACACGGGGAAAAAGCTGAAGCATGCAACTGTGCAATGCCACCTCGATCTCCATCTCCCAATGAGCCCAACAATGGCTGTAGCTGTTCTCTGATGCGCAGAGACATCGTCGAGCAGTTTCCAGGAGATATCTGTGGCGAGTCCCTTGGTATGCCCCCCGCTCTCCGCCCCACACACTTCTCTTCATCCACTGAGCCTGGCCACTGCTGTCGTCAGGCCCCTCCGACAAGAGATGAAAAAGAGGCTGTTGTTGTCTCCTTGCAGGAGAGATGGATGCCTGTTTCTCTGTTTTTCCCCCCATTTGCTTCACACTCTTAGAAGGGGAAGTGAAGGGAGAGGAGGGAGACAAAAAGAACAACATGGAGGAAAGAAAGAAAGCTATCCTGCGTGCTGGGGCGTTCCCCCACCCCCCCAAAACCCCCCCCCCCCCCCCACACACACACACACCCTAAAACACCAGCCCTATCCACAGCACCCCCAGTAGAGAGAGAAAAAGTGAGAAAGGAGAGAATAGTGGGGGGCCAGAGCCATGTGATACAGAGAGCATGCGGGCACAGCTTCACCCCCAGGCAGAATGAACGGGGGCCTGCTGTGTCTCTCCTGCATGATTAATCTGGCTGAGGGGCAGGAGGACTGCCACAGCCCTGCCTGCATTAACTCCATACTCTCCAGGCCCGCACGAACCCACACACACACACACACACACACACACACAAAGTCCCAGATAAGCAGTAGACCTGCAGCCAGACACACATTGATGCAATTTGTGTTTGTGTGCTTCTGCATAACTAGTAAAAAAATGCAGACCGGCACTGAGGTGGATTCCTATCGAGGTATCAGATTTGGAAAGTTTGACTTTTATCTTTTGCCAAGGGCAGCGTCTCGCCGTCATTTATGCACTGACACGACACTAATCCTTCCGCGTGTCGCCAAACTGTGCGGAGCGCCACGATGCGAGGCCGTTCAATAGTCTTGGTTTCTAGGTAGTTCTTGGTTTTCTCTGACTCATCCTCTCACATGACCTCTGTCTCCCAGGCAACATCGTAGATGTTTCCTGATGTCCGTCTTCTCTTTTTGGGTAATTCAAATAAGGCAGATGGTCCAGGAAATGGGGCTTAACTTTTTTTTTTAATTAGAGGACAACAGGAACCTGGCATAGGATGGCCCATGTTTTCAAGTATTCATGACAGCTTCTGAAAACCGCACATCAGGCCCACTGTATTGTTTCACAGCATTACAGTCCACTTATGTGGACATCACACTGGAAACTAATGTACACCACAACTGTCCTTTTTGAGGCAGCAGGACAGATTTTTTCCGTGGTATGTTCAGTTCCCATCTGCTGCAAATCAGCAAGTGCCTTAAGGGAATGGGTATTGTGCAAAAGTGAAGACCAAGTATCAAGAGGCAGACAGAGGGTTAACATCCTGCAGTCCACTCTACATTAACTGGAAAGGAATGAAGTGTCAAGCATGTTTTCACCACAGCGAGACAGTCAACCCCCCCCCCCCCCCCAACCCCCCCTCCTCCTCCTCCCACCAACCAGTCACCCCCCAAACCTTCTCCCTCATGTTACCCACATGCCTCCCACTCCCACCAGCCTCCCACAGCTATGACCAAATTATTTTCCAGTCTTGCGAGATTTGCCTTGGCAGACAAAAATCTGCAGCGCGGCGTAAGCACACTCGGCCTCCCTTTTTTCTACCCCCACGCTGTCGACAAGAGAGCGTACCTTCTTTTTTTTACCCACTTTGTGCGTTTGTCTCACTAATGTAAACTACTTTCAAAACTGCGAGTCCACATTTTGTCCTTTTTTGGCTCCCAGCGTGAGCAATGACCTGTTGAAAGGGTGGAGGGGCTTTATGAGAATGAAATGAATGCATCTCTCCAGGTATGGCGCAAACACAGGTGTTCTGATTTGAGGAGTTTGAATGAAAGTACTCATCAGAGACAAGGCAGAGAGGGAGGAAGCGCAAGACAGAGCACTCAATGACTGAGAGAATACGTGAAAGGGGGAGTAGAATGAGAGTGAAGAGAGACGGAACGAGGGAGAGAGAAAATAAGCCCCACCAGTGAGCAGGCCACACAGCCCTGCCAAACTGCTTGAAAAAAAGCCCCCTCTGTTTTATTTATAGTGCGCTGTATCCATGGCAACCGGAGAGGTCAGGCAAGCTGGGCCTGCGCTTCACCCTGCTCTGGGGATTAGGATTTCACAGAGGTTCTCAGATGTGAGGAAGGTGGGCTAGAGCAGCTCGCTGCTCGCCAACGCAGCCCTTCTGCTTTTTGGTGATCAAGTCTGTGTCCTTCAAACAGGAAGGGGGGATTCTGCGGGAACGCTGTGGTTTGTGATGGCGGTTTTGGCGATGGCTCGTGAGAATGAACACAAGTTTGGAGGAGAAAAAGTACACACTTAAAATCAGGAAGAGGAGTTTGATTTGACCGAGTCGTCTGTCGCAGCAGGACTCACTGTGGTTGCTTTTCTTAGAGATACTATTTTGAAAAGTTCATGCTAGGTCATGGGACACCTCTCTTTTTACAAGACACACAGTAGTATTTCGAGCTCCATAATACCCCATAGAAACGCTGAAGTTAAAGTCAATGAAATTCAGATTATAATGACATGGGCTGTGAGAAAATTTGGGATCTTTCTTCTGGTTTGGTTCTGTTTCACTTTGGCAAGGCATTTTTGAGACCTCAGACCAATTTACTTTCCTCTCTTTTGTAAAATATTTTGGGCTTGTTATTTTCATCCCCCCAAAAAAAAATCCTTCCAAAACAGCTTAGCCAGTTGGAATGAAGCTCTGGGACGAGAGAAGCACAAAGAGGTAGGCCGAGCGCAGAAGGGGAGTCAGAGAGGGGATGAGGAAAAAGCCGATTGCCCTCCAGGAAATGCTTGGTGTGACTACAGCAGAGACCTTCAGATTTCTCCTGGGGCAGAAGACCTAGGTTGCTAGGAGATGGTTGTTGGGCTGGAGTTGCCATGTGTGGATGCTGTTGCCTGCCATGTTCTGGTGTGCAGGAGGACAAGGATTTAATAAACGTTCAGTGAGCATGTGCAAAAGGACCTTAAAGGCCAAGCATGGAAAAAAAAAAAAAATTGTGATTCATAATTATCATCAGGTAATGACTTCCCCCGTCTCTAGGGGGCACCCTCAGCACCTGAGTCACAGGACCCTGGAGTCAGTTTTCCTCTCTTGGAACTGAGACCAAGCCAGCATTTGCATCAGCCAAAAATTGATGTCACCAGCACATGATTCTTGAAGCCTCCTGATATGTGATCAGTCCATCATGTCAGGGCCAACAGCAGTTCATGAAGCTGACTGAGGATGAGGAACTAATGTGCAGAAGAGGCACGCATCAAAGTAACCTGCAATTTTGTTAGCGGGCACAGAATTGGTTAATAGAGAGTAGGAGAACATAGAAAGTAGTAGACACAGCTTGTTTGTGTTTTCTGGAATGCACATTTTTAATTTGAAGACTAGAAGAGATGTAGAGCAGATTTAGTTTTCACCTGAACTAGTGAAAAAGAAGTAATATTAACATGAGGCAGATGAGTTAATCGCTCAGTAAGACATTTGTTCATGTAAGCAACAACCTTGACAGATCATTACCTAACAGTTGTTAAACTTTTTGGCTAAAGCCGACAGCTGTTCCTTAATCAGTTGTGACCTGTGAGTTGTTGATGAACGGAAAATCTACGCAAAAGATTTTTTTTAAATACTATATTTCTGTAATACACACACAAACAGCGACATTTCCAGGCTAGAGCTGCCTTTAGTTTAAACCGTGTGTGGGCATTCGCAAAAAAGGTTTATCCAAAATCATGGAATTTAACACCTAATGAATGAAGAGCGGCGGCACGGTGGTGTGTGGAATACTTCAACCCCACCCTAAAAAAAGCACCTCTGTTGTTCTCCCCATGGTTAGCACCATCCGCTCACAGCAAGAGGGTTCTGGGTTCAAGTCCCCGGTGGAACCAGGACCTTTCTGTGTGGAGTTTGCATGTTCTCCCTGTGTCTGCGTGGGTTCTCTGTAGGTTTACCGGCTTCCCCCCACTGTCCAAAAACCTCCATGTTAGGTTAATTCCAAACTGTCCTTAGGAGTGAGTGTGTGTCGTTGTTCGTCTTTGTGTGGCCTTGCGATGGTCTGGCGGACCGTCCAGGGTCTCTCCCTCATGTCCAGGGTAGGCTCCAGTCCCCAGACCCCATTTGGGAATAGGCGGTTCAGAAAATGGATGGATGGATGAATGAAAAGGGCTTTTCGGATAGAAATCTCATTATATGCATCTTAGTTCTATCATACCTATGTTGTATCTAGACAGTAGCATCATTATAACTCTGCCATGTTAACAAGGAATAAAAGGTGAGTCTATTTATTTTTTACAGTATGAGACATCTCAGAGCTAATCTGTTTCAAGCAAAGCTCCACGCCGTAGCAATGTAGATACCATACAGAGCTTGGAGCAACCAGGTGATTATACACTTTGGGTTGTAATGATATTTGCTCGCAGACAGACTCACAGGAACTGAATTATACTGTACATTACTCTAAATAGGTTTTCACTGGAGTCGGTGTTGTAGAGTAGGTTGCAAGTTCTGGAGCAG